TGAGCCCCCTGCCTGGCCCTATTTGAATATTTTGAGAATGTTTGGGAAGGGGAATGCAGTCAAAAACTATACAACCATTTTCTGATAATCCACACAGAAATGTAACCTTCACACGTACATTTCTGAACCTGATAACTCTGGTAGGAAATACATTGTAATAAAGCCTTGAGTCTCATTCAGCTGGTGAGCACTGACAGTATACTGGTTAAGAGCATAGGCTCTGACTACAGCCTACCTAGGTCCAAATCCTACCTCTGAAAACTTGGAGCTGTGTGACCTTTGGTTAATTACTGAATTTCTCTGAGCTACACTTTCCAAATCTATAAACTAAGAATAGTCAGCAGTACGTATTGCATAGGGCAGCCATGAGAATTAAACAAGATACAGAATATAAAACACCCAGTATGGTGCCTGGTACATATTAAGTCCTCAATAAATGGGTTCTCTTATTATCACCACTTGCTGAGGCCCATGCTTAGGTGCAAGCGATATACAGGAAGCATCCTACAACTTGGATTCATTATTTTCAGGGCTTGAAAATGAAAGTGAGAACAGGGCATGATCACCGAAGGGAAGGCAGCAGGCAAAATATTAAATTAAGATAAAATTTGAGTCTTCCCTTGGTAGGTACCCATGGTTTCTACTTGCAGCCTGTGTGGAAGATAGAATGACCTTCAATACTTAATGCAAGTGTGAATCATCCTCAGAAAACCACATGATTTTATATTGAATATCTGAAAGAACAGTTATATTTGGTATCAGAGCATAATTTGTTTTTCTGCTCAGAATCCTCATGTAACTTGTTTTCTTTTTGGATTTTAACGGCTCTTTACAGCCTCCCAAATAAGTGAACCTCATGCCCAAGGCGTTCAAGGCTCTGCACAATTTTTCCTTTCTCGTAAAAAAAAAAAAAAAAAAGTATCTATTTATCTTTGAGATACACTCTCTATCTGCTGCCAGGCTGGAGTGCAGTGGTGCCATCTCGGCTCACTGCAACCTCTGTCTCCCAGGCTCAAGGGATTCTCCCACCTCAGTCTCCTGAGTAGCGGGGACTACAGGTGTGTGCTATCACGCCAGGCTAATTTTTGTATCTTTTGTAGAGACGGGGTTTCATCATGTTGCACAGGCTGGTCTCGAACTCCTGACCTCAAGCAATCCACCCACCTTGGCCTCCCAAAGGAGGAGGGACTACAGGTGTGAGCTACTGCACCCAGCCCAATGTTACTCTTTTCAACGTTTCAACTTTTATCTCACATAAACCCCTTATGCAAACTCACTATCCTGCCAAATTACAAAACTGTCTAAGTTAGGCTGTTCTGACTGCACTAAAGGATTGCTTTGTATACTAGTTAAAATAGTATATTTCTTGTCTAGTCCGGAGGCTGAGACCAGGGACCCCATCTTAGATATCTACATATTTCCCCACAGTGACTAATATGTAATAAGCACCTAATTAATGTTTGCTAAAGAAATGGATTACTTGTCCTTCCACTCATTAAGGTCATTTCTACATATGAAACTTTGATGCCCATTTTTCAAAGCTATTTGCCTCCTTCAACTGACAGCCTCCTTTTTAAACATCCTGATTCACCAGATAATCATTACATTATATGTCTTTAAAAAAGTTACACTTCTAAATTTATCCTGATGTTTTAGATTTTTTAAATTCCATACGTCTGTGAGAATCCTCTCCTTTTTTTTTTTTTTTTTGCTAGGGCTCTTTGTAAAATAAATATTGTTTCCAGATAGGCTACTTAATGCCAATATCGTTAAAATGATGGAATAATATAATAACTACTTCCTACCTTCATGGTTACTGTGATGGTGCTATTTACATTTGCTTTATGCAACCAGCCTTGTTTTATCACACCACCCTTCTGAGAACATAAAGAAGATGAGTCCTGAAATAGAACAAAAATAATCAGTAAAACAACAGCCAGCCTGCCATCTAATTAGCCAAACATTTAGGGGCACAGAATGAGGCCCTGCCCGTTTCCTAATTAAAACCTAAAGTCCCCTCTTCCCCGCGAGGATTTAAAATAGTTGACAGTAGAATGAAAGGCTCTGTGCTATGCACACAGTAGGCACTTAGTATTTACTGAATGGTATGGGCTCTCTTCTGGGAACTCTTCTGCATTATGTAAACAGTCGAACTGCACCTCGAAATGTCACAGACATCCGGGCCATCTGTCCCAAGAGGAATCTATCAGGCAGGAGAGTCCAGATGAATCACCACACCACATGCCCAACTCGAGAAAAGCAACTCCACAAGCATGTCCCACAGGTGGGGGAACATGTTTATGTACAAATCACAGTCCCTCTCACTTGATTTTTTTCCTACTTGCAAATACAGTAATTAAAAAAAAATTGAAAAGCACCCAGTTTGAAAGCTGGCCACAGATCATTCCAAAACAATTCTTTCCTTCATATTTTCTCAAGAAATTCCCTTTGAAATCTTTTTCAGCAAACTGACCGTGAGAAAACTAGCACAGTTACCTCACTGTTGCCCCCATTCTTACCTCATCTTTCTCACAGTCTTCATCTATCTCAAATACATGATTAGGAATCTTTTCTGGTCTCAAAGATTTACTGCAAATATAAGAGAACTGTCTTAGAAACTAAACAGAACAGACCAAAAACAACAACAACAACAAAAACACAACAATAATGACAACAACAGTTAAAGCAAGATGAGCAGATTTCTTTCTTTCACAAACAAGAAAATGCCAAGACATCCTATTCTCCTTTCCAAATTCAGATTCTCCCCTTTGAGTAAACTTACTGCAAGTTTTTGTTTCTGTAAGGACTTCCACATATGTGGCCAGCAGGGAAGACATAACTAAGCCCAGAAACTTACGGAGGACAGAAGTTGCTAAGGATCTTGTGCCAGAGCTGTTAGTGGTGGCAGAACTTCTCCTTTCCCGGGTCAAAAAGCAACACAGGCCGGGTGTGGTGGCTCACGCCTGTAATTCCAACACTTTGGGAGGCTGAGGC